GGATCAGATCATGCAACTCCTATGCTTGAAGTTTTCCAGCAACTTTCTTGCATTCTTAGTGAAAGTTGCTCAGTCATGTCCGACTCTTTGCAACCCCATGGACTGCAGCCCGCCAGGCTCCTCTATCCATGGAATTCTCCAGGCAAGAACACTGGAGTGGGTAGTCATTCCTTTCTCCAGGGGATCTTCCCGACCCAGGGATTAAACTTGGGTCTCCTGCATTGCAGGCAGATTCTTTACTGTCACCAGGGAAGCCCTAGGCCCACATTCAAATTCTCAAACATCACTCATGGGACACTCTGAGAAATGCTGCCTGCCTGTCTACTATGTCCTCTTAAGCCAGTACATGGCACACCGCCTTGGTCTCTGTGCCTCAAGCACTTGTGCCCTCTCCCCCAACATGCCGGCTCCTTCACTTTGAGCAGCTCCTCCAGGCTCAGCTCCAGCATGACCTCCTGCTCTGCTCCCCAGCCCCCATAGCTGGGTTGGTCCCCCCCCCCCCCCCCCCCCCGCTGGGTGCTGGCCTGTCTATCACTCTGAGAAGTTAATGATGCCATATTGGCTGTTGTCCTCAGTGGCACACCCACAGGTCTGTGAATGGATACCAGACAGGGACTGCATCATTCACTGTGTGTTTTGGGCAGAGCTGTACCATGCATGCAGATGTGCATGCTTCAGTCATGTCCAATTCTTTTGTGACCCTATGGACTATAGCCTGCCAGACTCCGCTGTCCATGGAGATTCTCCAGGCAAGAATACTGGAGTGGGTTGCCATGCCCTCCCCCAGGGGATCTTCTCAACCAGGAGATTGAACCTAAGTCTTCTGTGTCATAGGTAGATGGATTCTTTACCCACTGAGTCACCTGAAAGGCCTGAGCCTGTACCACAGGAGCTGTTTAATATATATTTCTTGAATAAATGCAAGATCAAATCACTAACAATAATATGCATATTGGGCTCTTATTACCATAAGTTAAGACCTCTAGAGCTGCCAGCCTAAGCTGGTTATGGGTCTTATTGATCCGATTAGAAAATGCTTGATGACAAGGGGGGCATGAGTGACAGCTCTGGACAGAGGCAACAGTGAAATCAGCCCCCCTGAGAGAACATTCAAATGTGGATGAGTTACAAATGTCATCTCCATCTTCAGAGAGAAAAGAGCAGCAGACTCAGTCAGAAACATTGATGTTCACACATCTTCATTTCAGATAGCATGGTTATCATCACAAAACGTAACATAAACATTTTTCCTGGCATTGTTGTTCAGTTATGCAGCTGTGTCCGACTCATTGCAGTCTCATGGACTGCAGCACGTCAGGCTCCCCTGTCCTTCACCATCTCCCAGAATTTGCTCAAACTCATATCCATTGAGTCGGTATTGCTATCCAACCATTTCATCCTCTGCTGCCCCCTTCTCCTCCTGCCCTCCATCTTTTCCAGCATTAGGGTCTTTTCCATAGCATGACAAAAAAATTGTTAAAGGAACCAATTAGTCAAATGTATGGCAGGGAATATTACGCTGGTGAATTTCCTAAGTGATCTGTTCATAAGTCATTCAATTTGTGCTATGTATAGTTTTAAAAAAATTTTTTTTCTTTATGTGGATCATTTTTAAAGACTTTATTGAATTTTGTTACAATATTGTTTTTGTTTTATATTCTGGTTTTTTGACTCTGATGTATGTGAGATTTTAGCTCCCCAACCAGGTATCAAAACCACACCCCCTGCATTGGAAGGCGAAGTCTTAAGCACTGGACCACCAGGGAAGTCCCCATACTATGTATAGTTATGCCGTCAGATTGCCAGAAATAGGCTGTGTCATATCAAGTGAAAATATGACTTGGAGGACAAGGTGAAAACCCATTAAGGGAGCAGAGGTTCCAAAATCAATTTTTTTTTTAAATGTGATATTAAAAATGATTGACTTCTAACACGAGCATGATCAGTTTTTCAGATTGACTTTTTACTTCCTTTCCAAAAGGATGCCAGCAAAGCACTTATGAATTTATAAATATAAACAAAAGATGGAAAAATTTAAGCTATTGGATAGCTTACTTTTCCACAATGATCATAATTAATCTAACATTTCTGAGTCTTAGGTGAAAGGCTAATGCATATTAAGACAAATATGCCTAAGGATACATCATCTCTACCACACCAAAACAGCTCTCAGAACTCATCCGTTTTTAGGTCTTCATTTCTATGAAATCCTCTAGAGCACAGAAGCTGAGAGTGTGAACTCTTAGAGCCAGAACACAAGAATCAAACTCAGTTCTAGCATTTATTAGCTCTGTGATTTCAGGCAGGTTCCTCTGCCTTGCTATGCCTCAGTTTTCTCATCTGTAAAATGGAGATATGAGCATTTCCCCTCTTGGGCCACTGGAAATACTAAGGGAGTTAATTCATGTGTGTGTCAAGAAGTGCATGGCACACATGATGCTTAACCAAAGTCAGCACTCTCCATCCCCTGGTGGGCAGCCGGATACGATGGAATATCAAGACAATTCCTGCCCCCTGGGATTATCCCAACAATATTATTATGAAATTTAATTTGCTCTATGAAGACTGCGTAACCTGGTCTTAGAAGATCAGAGAAGGCATAGTAATCATCAACTGGATTCTGAGGGCCAGGAAAAAGTGAACTGATATCCAGCATTGTGCAGAGAGCCTCAATCTGAGTTTTCCACTGATTAAAGAATTTTAAAGGTTAAAAGGTAGTAAGGAAACGGGCCCCACAACAATTGTTGCCACAGTTTCTGCATCACATATGTCATTCAACAATATTGCAAAAGCAGTCGCCTTATTGTACAAAATAGCAACTAATTCATGAATATTATTCTTTCATAAGATTGAATAATTAAACGATGCAACATAAAGTAAGACTAAGAAAATAACAGGAAATAAGCAAACCCAGTACAATCATTACAGGTAACTATTGCTAACTCTCCGCCTCACATACTCCTTGGTAAAGGACAAACTACAGCGTGCAGTGCATCACTCAAATTTTTATGACACCAAATGACAAGTGACAACTTTTGCAGCAGGTCTGTCAGAATTCAGCTTCTCTTGATCCACCTCAAATATCAACCTAAAGTGAAAAAAGTGAAAGTGAAAGTCGCTCAGTCGTGTCTGACTCTGCGACCCCATGGGCTATTCAATGCACGGAATTCTCCAGGCCAGAACACTGGAGTGGGTAGCCTTTCCCTTCTCCAGGGGATCTTCCCAACCCAGGGATCAAACCCCGGTCTCCTGCATTGCAGGCAGATTCTTTACCAGCTGAGCCACCAGGGAAGCCCCAATATCAACCTAATTAATTAGTAAATAGTAACAGCCACAGCCACCATTCACTGGGATCTCATTATGTGCCAGAAAGGATGAATATGAATCAAATCTTCATTTTCATTTGCTTCAGCTGTTAAATACCTCATCAAAAAAAGCACCTTATTCCAGCCTGCAGCCCCCTCACCCCTGCAACCACCTCCTTAGTATTTTATAATGATGTTCTAAGGAAATTTGGGGGCTCATTTATAAAACACCAAAACAGAAGCACAGAGCTTTTTGGTGAGAAAATATTTCATACCTTCATTAAAGTCAGGTCGATATTAAAAAATATCAACTATAACCAGAAAAAGGTGTTGTAGACACTCATTATTTTTAGGAAAACTTATAAAACAACTTTCTCTAAAGGAGTGGAGAGTAATCAAAATGCAAATTCAGTAACCTGCTCTGCATTCGCAGGTTGCATACAAGGTGCACTGTGACGTCCTGCTCAGTAACACGGAGGAAATTACAAATGCAGGACGAAACATCAACCTTCCTGACTGTGCATCTTTCCTAAACACAAAATACACACAGACGCCCAGAAGTTATCATGTAAAAGATCAATTTCTCCATGGATTTTGTTTCTCATTCACGTTACAATGCCAACAACGCAGTTCCTTCAGTATTCACACATACTATAAATATACAACGTACAACTATCAAAACTTAGAACTACCCAACCATTAAATAAGTAAATATGAGCTGCGGTATAAATAAAAATAGTCCTTGATTAGAAAAGGCTTTTTCCCCTTGAAATTGAGTATTTTGACAAATTTTGGCAGGCACAATTATTTCTACCAAAATCAATACTTCTAATGCACATCATCACTACAAAATTCACATGAAGCATAAGATGAAAAATATGAGTAAAAATGGAACCAATAAGTAACATGGAAACAAAAAATAAATGGAAATAAAAGACAGAAACAAGAGGAAATACATTTGAGAAAGAGATGCTGAAGAATCCTCACTTAAAATATTTGTTCCCACTTAGAGAATAAGAGGTTTATATGTTCATTTCTGATTACAGGAAGAATTAATGTCTTCTCTAAAAGCCATCTGAAAGCACAGGCTTTGATTGAAATGCTGTCCCCATTCTTTAAACTTGATGATGATGAGAGGAATGTGTTGGGGAAGGGAAGGAAAGGCAGGGTGATGGATGTAACACAGTGGGCTGGCAGGAAGGACTCCCGGGCACTCACTCACAAGTCCCAGATAGCCTGGACCATGTGGGGTGCAAGGATGCTTTTAGGGAAGATGGGCAGTGCAGGGCAGCGGGGGAGGACCAATGTCACTAATTTATGCACTGCTCAATGTTCATCTGAAGGCAAGTCTGACTCCACATCCTCCACTAGATAGCCTGTCAATCAAAACAAGGGAAAAAACCCACAACCTAGCTACTACTACTATCACCATCTATGATAGCAAAAATCATACAGTGTTTTGATCATGAACACTCCTCAAATTCTAGCTCAACCAATACATACTCTGTCTAATGCGTATTCCCCATTACTTTGGCTCAACTGACCTAAACACACAAAATTTTCCTTTTAAATTTAGGATAGGTATAATTAATCCTCTTTTCTCAAGAATTCTACTCTCCATAGAATTTTTTTCATACAGCATCTTTTAAATTAAACAAAAAAGAAAAAGGAAATAGTTGTAACAAAATGCCATACCTGGTGGTACTTCTTGCTGTTCCTCTGCAGGAGGCATGTGCAGTTCTGAAATAATTAATAAATAATAAAATAAATAAAAAACACTCCACTACAGATTGCTGTCCAGTGTTTAAAGACTATAAATCCTTAAGCTGGAATGATTATTTTCACAGACCTTTTGGGGGTTCGATTGCAATTTATCATAAAGCATTAGGTTTTTGTACCAACACAATAAAGAAAAATGAGCTATAACTTTGTAACAGTTTGTGTATTTCTCAACTGTCCTGAACCACAGGCTTTAAAATATTATCTGCCTAACTGACTAACCTCAAAACTTACTGTCTGGTGAAGGAGATATGAACCAAACCCCAAGTTATCACCACAATTTTGCATCAGACTTGATAGGAAAGCTGTTGAAAGATATTTAAAGCATCTTGTTTCTTGTTAACAATACAAAAAATTAAATTCAAATAGAATCTTTAAAATGTATCACTATCCTTAATAAACTCGTTTTTGAAAAATAATGCTCAAGGTAACATATTCTAAAACTAGCCAAAAATATGGATATGAATTATAACATCTAGTCTTTTTTTGTAGACATCAACCGACTTACAACTAAAGAAACTGTAAGCCTCACCACCCAATGGTATAATGATATATTGATCTGATTTGCTCTATAAAATTACATCACATGTGAGTATCTTCATCCCTAACAACACAGTCGGTGGGCAGGAAGTACCTTAATTGAGACACTATCAAGAAATAAAATTGTTATCTTCGCTTTTGTTTAAGATTTTGTGTAACAGGCTTTGGTCAAAAAGAGAGTATTTTATCAGCATTTTGTAAAACTCAAAATATTTATGCAGCTATTTTAGTCATTTTTCTTCTTGCATTAATTTGCTTCTACTTGTAAGAATGCTCAAAACAGTTGGAAATATTTTAGATAAAAGGAAAAAGAAGCATCATACATATTTTCTCCAACTGAAAGGACACAACTTTCAACTCACTTCTGCCCATGGATAATTCCTTCTCATGACACCACCTCCTCCTACTTAGGGCAGCCCTCCTCACCCTAATATGATACTTTCTACTATACAATCCTGGTTTCATCTCCATCACTGCCTTTCTCATAATCTTTACTTAATCATCTCATTGGTCACTAGAGTGCCAGCCCCCCAGTGAAAACAGAATTCTAACTCTTTTATTCACTCTCATCCTCCAAGCCCCTGAGCACTGGAAAGACAGCAAATAGTTAAGTGTGTGCTAAATGCTGGTTGAAGAAATGAATATAACTTTAATATAAAAAGTAAGCCGATTCTATAAAATTAACTTACCTTCTAAAATTGTGTTTGAATTGTCTACAGCATTATCTAAAAAAAAAAAATTAAGCACATCTTACATTAACTCACTTTCACAAGTTCTTTAAATTAATATATTCGTTTGGAGACCTAAATTTGACTCTTTTTAGATTGGGGTTTCGTATAGAGAGATTCGTTAGAATATCAACTTTAATTTCTAAATTATAGCCAAAGAATACATCAATAGGCTGGGGATGTCCTTAGTGGTCCAGTGTCTAAGGCTCTGCGCTCCCAGCACAGTGGGGCCCAGGGTTCAATCCCTGGTCAGGGAACTAGATCCCGTATGCCGCAACCAAGACCTGGTGCAGTCAAAAAATAAATAAATACTTAAAAATCAACTGATTTTAAAAATAGGTTGGCATTATCTCTGCTGACATAAACCTTGCACCATAAACAGGATAAATATATCAACATGATCCAATTCCTTAAGTGACTTGAGAATGTCTTGTATTTCTGACTACATCTATCTTTGTTCCACAAGCTATGCTCGTTTTAACAAATGCAAGGGGAGCTGACTTGCAGGAAGCTCAATACCTTACCTGAACTTTCTGTCCCTTCATTCTGCAACGGCTCATACACTACAAAATACACAGAAAAAAATACTCCGTTAGCCCAGCATCTCATTAAAACACAAGAGCGGCCATACAGTTCAAAGTCTAGTTTATTCTTGAACCTCTGCGACTCCATTACTAGTAAATGGCAGTTTACAGAGTACAATGGGGAAGAGTTTGGTTCTGGGGTGAAACAGGCCTAGATTCAAATTGCAGAGTAGCCGCTTTTAGCCAGAGGGACAATGATATATGCTTCCTTCTTGCAAAATGGGGAAAATTAAAGTTCCTCCCCAATCACTTATTAACAGGATCCCATACTTTGTTAATCCCTGGGTGGTGCTGAATTTCTCTTTTATCCTCTGTGACTGTAGTGGAGGTTCTGAGTTACCCACAGCTCTGTCCGCTCTTCACTCTGGATCCCAGACCTGGCAGATTCTCTACTTCGCAGAGTAAGCAACGCTCACATGTTCAACCTGGGGCAAACGGCCCTGCCTCCCGCCCGAGACGAGGGTTCAGCGGGCAGGTCTTAATCCACTACCTTAACCACAGCCCAGGGCTCACCTCTCTCTGCTCCACTGCTTAGGCTCTTGTCTCTGCCACCATCTCCCCTCGTGTCCGGCTAGTTCATAGCTTCCCTAGTCAGCCTGATTCCTGCTTTTCCCATCTTCCAAAATGCCTCAAATGTCCTCGTACCCTAAGAGCAAACTGTGTTATAGTCCTAGCACAGTTACAAATGTATTTCCCTTGATCATTTAATAAAGAAAGATAGTGAGTATTTACTATCTTTTAGATATTATTCCCAGTGCTTGGGTAAAGGACAGTTTTTAATAATGCTTTTCTATCCTGCTGGTGGTGTTTGGGAGACAAAGGAACAGTGAATACTTGCTCACTGTCACCCTGAACTGTGTCCCATTTTAACATGCTCTTCTATCAACTGAAAAACAAACAAGCCCTTTCTTTTTGTTGCTGCTGTCATTTTTGTTATTCATTTATTTATTTTGTATGTTTTTCTTTTTTATTGAAGTATAGGTGATTTACAATGGCTCAGCTGGTTAGCAAAGTCATTCAGTTATACATATATATGTGTGTTTACGAGTGTATATATATTATATATATATATATTTTTTAGATTCTCTTCCATTAAGATTGTCCTTGTCCTCTTTCTCCTCCATTTCACAATCTAATTTCTTCAGAGTCATTTGCATACGCTGTCTTCTCACTTCCTCTCCTCAACCCACTCCAGTTTGTCTTCCAGCGCTGACCACATCCCTGAAAAGACTCCTCTAAGACTACCCATGAGCCCTCGTTTAACCCAGTGGACACTTCCTGCCTTTATTGAACCAGATCTCCTGGCAGCTCCTTCCCTAACAAATGCTCTCATCCTTGGACTCCAGGGCAACCATCCTCTCCTTTGATTCTCTCCTTTCTCCTCGATCTTCATCATTTCACCTTTTTCTTAGCAGGCATTAAATGTCGCCTTTCATCAGAGTGCAGCCATGGTGCCTCCTCTCATCTAGCTCTCTCCCCTCTCTTAAACTACTTAAGTCTTTGGATTCAATCATGATGCATATTCAGAAGATTCTCAGACTCAGTTGGGTAGACTTCTCTTCTATGATGCAAATACCATCCATCAGCTAATTTGGTAAATCCCCTTGGATGGCTCGGCAGGATCTACCTGCTGGAACAGACTGCTCATGACCTTCTGGCCCCAAGCCCGTTTTCCAGTCCTATTTGTCTTAGGAAAAAGCACTCCATCCACCAGGCATATGAGCACAACAGTGGATGTGGTTCCCGACACCTCAGGTCGTATTTTTACCTTGTTAACATTTTAAATTGTATTTATTACAATATTCTGCCTATGAAAATATCTTTACTTTCACATCTTATTTAGCATTTTATCTAATTTTATACTTCTTTCAAATTTGATTTTAAAATTCTCTAGATCTATTCTGCAACTTGCATTTGGAACATGTTCTTACCAGCATATTTGGAAAAACACAGTAATGACTGGCAGAAATTAGAACACTATTTCAAATCCTACCTCTGCATGCAATTTTTAAATTCCAAATTCCTCTTTTCTCCTTTAAATTCAAAATCGAAAAGAAAGCCTAAATGCATTCATAGTGGCCAAGTTATTTAATTTATTATAAAAAATATTAGCCCCTAGACTCTAGGATTCTTCTGATGGCATCCTTCGCATCCCATTAGGACCTGTGGATGGTGATGTTGGTAGGCTCAAATCTTAAAATCACATGTTTAATAAATTAGCATATTGGACCTACACATAGCTCTTCCTAATTTTCTTCACTCGAAATTCACCAGCTAACATGAGACCTCAAGATTTTTTTTGAAAGTAGAGACTTCATAGTATTCATATTTGAGCACCAAGCCCTAAAATCATCCAGCATATAGAAGTCCTCCATATCCAACTCAAGACCTACACATCTCCTCAACCTTCTTGTTTTACACAAAGTTATTCTCAAATGGCTTCTTTCCTTCTATGGAGTCATCTTTGAAGATATTGAAATAAGAAGGATCCACTGTTGGCTCTATCATTTCTTAGTCAAATGAACGCATGCAAAATTACTTACATTCTCTGAACCCACTTCTCTCATCTGGGGAGAAGTGAAAATTATAACCTACTTCAGGAAGTTTAATGAAAACAGCACAGGAAATGCTGGGGCAACAAGAGCAGGTGCAATTGCCTAAACCAGAATCTGACGCCAGAACTATTTTCTCTATGCTGCTTTAAGCCCAGAATGGAGTTCTTCCATACCATTCTCCATGGAGAGCAGGCATCTTTATTTAACAAAATTAATTTGCAGAAGCAACTAGAGTAGTTAAACTCTGACTAAAGTAGTCTTCGCTTCCCTGATAGCTCAGTTGGTAAACAATCCTGCAATGCAGGAGACTCTGGTTTGATTCCAGGGTCAGAAAGAGTCTCTGGAGAAGGGAAAGGCTACCCACTCCAGTATTCTTGGGCTTCCCTTGTGGCTCAGCTGGTAAAGAACCATCTGCAATACAGGAGACTTGGGTTCGATCCCTGGGTTGGGAAGATCCTCTGGAGAAGGGAAAGGTTACCCACTCCAGTATTCTGATATAGAAAATTCCATGGATACAGTCCATGGTGTTGCAAAGAGTCAGACACGACTGAGCAACTTTCACTTCACTTCACTTCAAAGTAGCCTTCAAGCACAGGACTTATATTTAATTTAAAAAGAGCCACAACTATAAAGCAATGAGATTAAATTTTCCTGAAAAATTTGTAACCACCACTTCCTAAAGCAATGGCAGAATCACTGGAATGGATAAACCATCTCCTGAAGTAAACTCTGAAAACTACCCATTGATTGGGCTGCTTTAAGTTATGGTATTTGTAGCTAAAAGTATCACTCTCCTTACTTTACAGTCAACCTCTGAGTAGATTTTAAAAACAAGTAGGTAGCTTAACGTTAAGAAGCATTTTCAAACCTTGTTCATCATAGTCTCGGTAGGTGACATCATCTGCAAAAAAGAGAATAAAACCAAAATAAGTATTACTTGAGTCATTACTTTTTAGTCATTTTAGCTAAAAAGCACAACTAAATCTCCAATACAGAATTCTGCTCCTTTACATATTTGATGACCGCACAATCAGTGAGAAAGGCCTCTGCCCAAAAACAATGATAGGAAAGGACAGGTAAATTATTTTCATAAAAATTTCTCAAATTGGCATAAAGCAGGACATGCAGAAGAAACATTAGGAATTAATATCCTGTTTTATTATGAAGTGGTGGTAGATGAGATGAAATATGAAAGTCTGAAAGTCTTTTGAACAATCTATGCAAAGCAAAAAATCCTGTATTAGGCTCTTTGACCCATCAAAAGCGTTGCATTTGCAACCATAGAGCCAGAAGCAATGTTTAAAATCTAATGAAAACATTCATCAAGTACCTGTTTCTTGGTACGTTCTTTCAGCATCATCTACTACTACTGGTTCACTGGAATCTAAAAAGAAAAAACATACGCCTTTGCCAAACATGAAAAAACACATTGCTAGACACTACTCTAAAATATTTACAAATTAACTCTAATCCTCACAATTGTGTAAGATAGATATTATTATCATTATTTAACAAAATTTAAGCTGAATAACAGGCCATAATTTCCTCTCAAGTCACAAAGATAGGAAGGAGCAGAATTAGAATTTTCACCAAATCTGGCTCCACTATATCACACTGCCTTATTCATTCCCAAATATTCTTGCCAGTGTTCTATTAATGTTTACAGAATCCCAACAGTGATCTGAAAAACATCTCCTTTTCCCCCATTTCTCCATGTAATATTAAACTATATTCAGAAATTTGTATAATACCTTGGCAGTCAAAAATGACTCAAGTATTATAAAGAGATCTCTATTTTGAATAAGAGTGAATCATTAACCCTGGGTAGAAATGACCTTGGTCACTCACTGCCTGAAACAGAAACATCCATTACAGACCTGGATTTTCCTGCTCATATATCATGTCTTCCACATCTTGACTGTAGGCTGGAGAAGCTGTAAATTAGGAAACAATTAGGAAATGACAAATATGTCTCAGAAAAGGATTACATTTGATATTTAAAACAGGAAAAGCACAATTTCTAGTGTAGACAGAAATCAAATCAAAATGATGCTCAAACTTTCATTCATGAAACCAACAGGTACTAACTTGTGCTAAATACCAAATACAAAGATAAATAAGAAAGTTTGCATCATCAATGTAACTGAACCACAAAATCATGGAGCTATATTCTCATTTAGTTAATGAAAATTCAGTGACATTCACAGAACAAAAAATGAGGCAGAGACACAGAGCAGTGCAGTGAACCCTCCTCCCAGGCACAAGCAGGCACCTGCCTGAGTGAGCCTGAGTGGGAACCTACATTCCTAGCCCCTCACTTGGACTAAACACCGGCGCACCCCAAACCACAATGCAATTCTCATGTTTGTAGATGCCTATTGTTGAAACGGCATAGGTCCTAAATGCCAGCCAACAATATGACGTAGTCCCACAGAAAGAGGGATCTATTCTGACCCTGGGAGAAAAACTGGCCAACACAGGCCTACTGGAAGATGGTACATTCATCTCCAGTGTGGCCATACCTTCTGGGGACACATGATATGAGACAAGACACAACTCTGACCATTCACTGACTTGGTAATTTGGGACTACAAAACATGCAATTCTACAGCATCTTTTTTTCAATTATCATCTTAAAATTTTTTTTTCTTTTCATTGAGGTTTACCATATTATGTTAATTTCTGCTATACAGCAAAGTGATTCAGTATATATATATATAATTATATATTCTTATTTATATTTTTTCCACTATGGTTTATCACAGGGTATTAAATATAGTCCCCTGAGCTACACAGCAGGACCTTGCTGTTCATCCATTCTATATACAGCAGTTTCTATCTGCTAATCCCAAACTCCCACAGTACCTTTTGACTTAATAATTCCACTACTGGGAATTTATCTTCAGGAAATAGACTTCAAAAGCACAAAATTATATTCATATATACATGTATCTATATGTAGATATATACACATATCTATATATGTGCACACATAGCTATATATATGTGTACATACAAATATACATATATATAATTGTGTTATAACATATAATAATCATTTATTATGTATTATGTGATATTTGATATAAGTATAATAGTTAATAAATAATAATCATTTTATCTCTCTTTTATAGGAAAAGATTAATTCTATTTAGAAAAGAATAGTACCAAATTAAAATCTTACCTGTCTCTTCTATATGGTAGCTATCTTCAGTTTCTGAAAATAGTAACATTAAATAAAGATTACTACCTTAATAAATGGTATATTTATATATTTTGTATATGTATATTCTGTATGAATGTTTAGCATTGACTTTATTTTGAAAGCAAATAGGTAAAACAAAACATGAAAATATCAACAAATGTCTGCTAAATAGCTTTCACTAGAACTACATTTGGAAATGCCTCACATATTTTTCTTGTATGATTCACTTAACAACCCCACAAAGGTGACAAATACTGTAACTTGAGCTAAAAAGGGAGGGTGATTTAGACAGAGTAAAGACTTGGGCTTCCCAGGTGGCGACTGTGGTAAAGAATCTGCCTGCCAATGCAGGAAATGCAAGAGATGACAGTTCAATCTCTGGGTCAGAAAGATCCTTTGAAATAGGAAATGGCAATCCGTTCCAGTATTCTTGCCTGGAAAATTCCATGGACAGAGGAGCCTGGCAGACTATAGTCCATGGGACCATAAAGAGTTGGACATGACTGTTCTCACAACAGTGACAAAGGCTGTGTCCACATCACAACACCCTGTGCTGATCTATTTTCTAGACATGTCCTGCCATTTTCAGAAGCAAAAGTACAGTCTCTATATGGAAACACAAAGGGAGAACTGAGGGACTTTAGATGTTTGGGGAACTGAAAGGTCAATGTGTTGATGCCTTCACCTACATACCCCTGACGGCCAAGTGCTGCCACTCACATGACCTCTGTTAAATTAATAGCTACATGGACGTAAGTATTTTTAATTTCTGAAGACTTTTAACAAGCAACTTTTACGTTCAAACTGAATCTATGTCCCAATTAAAAATTAGGTCAGAAAATAAAGTTTATTCAATTTATGAATTTTTTAGAAGTGTTTCTGCCTACTCTTGATCTATAACTCCTAACCTTAAAAATATCAAATTCCTTATGTTTCCGATTATTTGAGTGTCTTAAATCAAACTTGTTGTATAAGCATCATCTAGAATATCAACCGTCAATCTTCCTTAGCTATCCTGGCCAAAGATGGGAAGGAGCAAGAGATTCCTGGGAAATGATGAAATCATTTCATCAGCATTCCTACTCAGAAATGTTTCCCCATACAAATCATGATGTTTATGATATCAGAAGGTCTAAAGTTCAAAAGCTAGTCTGTATATGTGTATTTTCAATGCACAACACAAGTGAGATCATACACATGTTGAAAAGCATTTTGAACTTAAAATTTCCTCCCAAATTATGCATCAGATACAATTCTGCAGGTTGGTATGGAAATCAAACCATCACTTACAATGTTATTTCTATGGAAAAGTATACTTTCTGCTCTCAACAACAGGCATGAACATCAACTTTTGGAAATACGTTTATTCATAAATTAGGAGCTGTTTGCTTCTCATGTAGTTCCGCAATATATTAAATATTATGAGAAGCAGATCTACTTAATTCCTCATAAGGTTTATGCTTTAAAATAGAACAGACTTGTGGACTCTGGGAGAAGGCGAGGGTGGGATGTTTCAAGAGAACAGCATCGAAACACGTATATTATCTAGGGTGAAACAGATCACCAGCCCAGGTTGGGTGCATGAGACAAGTGCTCGGGCCTGGAGCACTGGGAAGACCCAGAGGGATCGGGTGGAGAGGGAGGTGGGAGGGGGACCGTGATGGGGAATACATGTAAATCCATGGCTAATTCATTTCAATGTATGACAAAAACCACTGCAATGATGTAAAGTAATTAGCCTCCAACTAATAAAAAAAAAATAAAATAAAATAAAAAAATTAAAAAAAAAATAAATAAAATAAAATAGTCCCTGCAACCATTTACCAACGACATTGTCTGGAGGCTACCTATTCACTCAGGTCTTGCATGGCCTGGACAAGTCCCACGAGCTCTGCCTGATTCCCACTGGCTCCAAGCACAGACATTCAAGCCTTAACCCATTCAGACACAGCAGAGCAGGATGAGAAGGCCCAGGAGACAGGAAACAGCCCAACCACACCTGTGCTCAAACCTGGCAGAACTTACATATCCCCGAGGAGCTTTTACAATCCCCAATTTTGGGGGCCCCACATCCCAAATATTTCAATCCACTTTGACCAGGGTGGGCCACTGGAATTCTTTAAAAGGCTCCACAGGGGACACTGAAATGCAGCCAGGATCAGAAGCAGTGTAATGGGGCATCAACCCGTCTTAGTGGATCTTGTTTGTAAGAGGTTTTCTCTCTGAATCCAGGACGCTATGGCTCCAGACCCTCCTACCTTTACTAGAGCTGTGGATCTGATCTACTGCCTGTTTCTCACTGTTCTGTCTACTGCTCTGAACTCAGCTTAGGCTGAGCTAAACCTTGAACCCTGCCGGGCACCTCCAGCCTAGACGCTCTGCAGCCAGTGGTGCTGTGTTTTTACACGAGTGCTACAGACGCTGAGGATTACTACATGGCGCGTGGGGTGTGTTGTGTAACCGCTCGCTTCCTGTTGGGTGCCATCAACCACCCTGCGGCCTAGTTTCAACATAGGCTTGTTTTCTTGTATCACTCTTTTTTTAATTTTTGGCTGCACGGGGTCTTCGTTGCTGTGTGCAGGCTCTCTCTAGTTGCGGCGAGTGGGGGCTACTCTCTAGTTGGGGTGCACGGACTTCCCATTGCGGCAGCTTCTCTGGTTGCAGAGCACAGACTCTAGGGCACATGGCCTTCTGCAACTGTGGCTCTCGGGCTCCAGAGCGCAGGCATCAGTAATTGTGGCCCATGAGCTTAGTTGGTCTGGAGCATGTGGGATCTTCCCAATCCAGGGATTGAACCTGTGTCTCCTGCATTGGCAGGTGGATTCTTAACCACTGAAGCACCAGGAAGTCCCTCTTTCATCACTCTTTAGAGATAAAACATCTCTCTGAAAAAACAATGTTTCCTTCATACTCATTTTAAGTATAATATGATATATAATTTGTATATTTTCGAATAACAAAAAGCAGAGTACAAACTTGTGGCTTAAAATCATTTAAGAGTTCATTAATATCTCAAAGAACTACTTTAAGAAGAGTACAGAGAACATACCCCAAAAGAACAAAGCACGTGGACTTAATTTAGCAGGGCTCTAAATAACCATGGCAGCCTCATATTAAAACAGAACAGAACAATAAGTATATGAATGAAAAGTTTCCTATATGTCATTAGTGAATAGCTATCATTCTAACTGGCCTAATGCAAACAGTACAAAGTAAATGACTCAACTGATACTTAAATAGCCAGCATTTAATTTAAAATATTGATAACCAGTCAATATGTAGCCTGGTCCATATGTAGACTACATTGGGCCTGCCTCCTGATTTTCCAAATAAAATTTCACTGGAACACAGTCACTCATACTCAACTGGGCATTGTCCAGGGCTGCCTCTGCCCCATGGCAGCAGAACTGAGAAGTTGCGATAGAGGTTTTATGGTCTGCAAAGCCTAAAGTAATGACCAGCTGGCCATTTACAAAAAAAGATTTGCCAATGCCTAGGTTACAAATTGTATTCTACCCACTGTAGTCACAGAGTTCATTTTAGAACAAGACAGTTGGTAGATTATTAAGGTCAATATTTCATCAGTTGCTTGAATTTCTTATAACAAATGGTATTCCAGGATAGATAGTCCAGTAATTGTACTGAGGGATTTCACTTATATCCTATAAGAAATGCATAAATTCTCAGAATCCCTCCTACTGTGCTTTGAATTTTAAAATTGGGACATTTATTTATTTTAGGGAAAAGACTCATTTTATTGAAATTTTTAGCTTCAAGTTAAAGAAAAAAAATACTTTAGATAAAAGTTAAATATTGGTTTCAAAAAACTTCAACAATCCTAATTACAAATGACTCACTGTGGTTTATTCAGAAACCAAAAACAAAAGCGTTCTACCTTCATGAACGGCTCCAGTTCCCATGGGTTCGTGTCTGTTATCTGCATCACTTCCTACAAAGACATGGTCTTCGGGTTGCAGTTCTTCTGCTGGGCCTTCCGGTTCTTGGTGCAGGTTCTCTCCTTGAACAACAATAATGAACAAAGTGACACAGGTCTACGCCAAGGGCCCCTGGCAGCAGCCAACACAAACCCCAACGGCCCATCTGCAAGGCTGCACGTACCCTCTGCAGCTGCTGGGCACACCCTGCCCCTCCTCCGGGCCACTGCACATGCTGAAGCTCTGTTCTCTCTCTGGCCAAAGGCTAGTTCGCCTGAGGGGGCAACAGGTCTTCTCTCACTAGAACTTAAACTCACTATGGATGGGACCTCATCTATTTCAGTGGCTCTGTCTGCCCAGCACCTGGGGTTATGACTAGCCATGAGAAGTTCTCAATCCATATTTAATAACTGAATAAGTAAATTCAGAATTCTTACTACATTTGCCTCTTCAATGATCGCTAGATCAGAGAAAAGGTCCCCTTGTGAACTTCTGTTGAGAATTGACATAAAATTCCATGTAAGTTTTAGACAACTCTATGTAAATGTTCTATTGCGAAGAATAGCCAACCACCAGCTAAACCATATGCGAGGTCATCAGCACTAAATCAGATGCATTATTCTTTGCTTCTAAAGGTTCCTGTGTTTAGCCTTTAAGTTATGTCAAGATGCTCATTTTCTGTTGTGAGACTGGCATGATATAGTTAACCATTTCTCTTCCCTTGTGTAGATGTTGGACATGCTGTGTGACTCCACTGCAGCATGGGTTCGCTTGTCATTGTGGTCTGAGACATCCTCCCACTGGTAACTTGACATGACCTCATGCAGAGGATGTTTCACATATATCATTCTAACCAGAGAACTCAAGTGAGCCAGATAACGCTGTGCAGTGCAGTACCGCTCTAGGAATCAGACCATCTAGGACCACCTATACCAGCTGTGTGTGACCCTGGGGCAGTTACTTAACTACTTTGGGCCTAAGATTTCTCTTCTGAAAAAAGGAATAATATGAGTACCTACTCATAGCATTGTTACCAGGACTGAAGGGCTTAGAAAAATGCCTGGCCCATAGTAAGTAAGGGCTTCCCTGATAGCTCAGTTGGTAAAGAATCTGCCTACAAACCAGGAGACCTGGGTTTGATTCCTGGGTTGGGAAGATCCACTGGAGAAGGGATAGGCTGCCCACTCCAGTATTCTTGGGCTTCCACTGTGGCTCAGCTGGTAAAGAACCGCCTGCAATGCAGGAGACCTGGGTTCAACCCCTGGCTGGGAAGATCCCCTGGAGAAGGGAAAGGCTACTCTCTCCAGTATTCTGGCCTGGAGAATTCCATGGACTATATAGTCCATGGGGTTGCAAAGAGTCTGATATGACTGAATGACTTTCACTTTCACTATAAGAAGTAAATTTTTTGTTGCTGTGAAGTTGCTGTTAATATTTTTACCGTCATTGTCACCACAGTGGTAACAATAATACAATTTCTACAGCTACTGACCTGTCCCCTCACACAGCAGGATGGCGTTCTTGGTCCCTCTACTTGACGAGTTCTTAGTCACTTCACTCAGTCACCTGGTGTGGCCCAGTGATGCTCTCAGGTGTTAACTGGGCCTTGAGGCCCTTTGATGTTGACACTGTTTGTTTTCGGTCTTCTCATCTCAGCCTCCTATCTTGTTTCTCCTCATTTCAGATTTCCTGCTTCTCAGCACACCAATCAATTTTTCCTGTCACTAACTGTATGACTTTTTTTCTTCTAGTCATGTTCCTTATTTATTCAGTGTAGTTCTACAGGTTTTACGTGGGCAGGACTGAACTCTCTCGGCCATCCATTCAACAGAAGCCCGTTTTCAGCAGAAGCACCGTACACTGTCTGAGCGTCTCCATGACCCAGGGACAGCCCGCCATGAGGAAAACTATCTCCTGAGAGCTCATGAGACCTCACCAGAGGCACGGCCAATGCCCTCTGCAACTGCCGCCCCAACCCTATGAAGGAGCAGTCATCCAACCTTGAAGGATGAAGGGCTTGAGGAACTGTGCTAAAGCCACACAGCTAATAAAAGTAACTGCAGGACCAGAACGCGACAATGAAACACAGAAGGATGGGGACAGAGAGTCTACGTTATAGACAGTGTCAAGGACCCAAGTGTGACCCGATAAGATGTGATGACTGGAACACACACACAAAGATACTAACAGGAGACAGAACAAGTCAAAGGTCCTAGGGCAGAGACAAGCCCGGCGATTACAGAGAAAAGAGGGAAGGCCAACTAGGCTCGAGAAAAGTGATCAGGGGAGAGAGACCAGGCCCACAGCAGGCTTGGCCACATCAAACACTGGGTGCAGAGGAGCAAAGATGGAAGCAAAGACCCAAGTGAATGGAAGAGGGGATGGCGGTACTGACGCTGCAGAAGTCAGAATACATTTTGGAGGCAAAGCTGAAGGGACTTGTTGATGGATTATGCATGAGAGGGGAAGAGGAGAAAGAAATCAAGGAAAACCCCCAGGATTTAACTTCGGCAACTGAATGGATAAAGAGACCACTAACTAGAATATAAAAGACTGGAATAAAACTTTTTTTTCAGTGGAGCTGTGAGATGGAGAGGAATCAAGAATTCAGTTTTAGGAACATTTTGAGTCTGAGATATCCATATAACATGCATATAGAGATATGAATAGTTATCTTATCTCTAGCCAGTTAGTTATTCAGTTAGGTAAATCCAGGAGCTTAGATGAGAGATCAGGGCTGCAGATATGTATTCAGAAGTAGTATTTAAAGCCACGGTCTGTGGTTTTCTGAGGAGAAAGTCTTGACAAAGAAGAGATTCAAGGGATCCAGGTGCTAGACTGGCTTCCTTCCTCCAGGGTCTGGCTTCCTGCATCCACCCACCCAGACGTCCACCACACCCTCCACCTCCTTCTCCCCCAACCTTGGCTGAAATTTACTTTGATCAACCATCTCGACTCACTCAGATCCCCAGTACAAGACTCCCTGTCCCATCTTCTTACCGACAATTCCTCCACCTCATTTTTCACGCTGCAGACAGAATACACAACACCCCTTCACACCCTCCAATGCTTTTAACTCCTCTTAGCATCAAGTAAAAACATCCCTTCCCCTCATCTCTCCACCTTCGTTCAGATCTTTTTGGTCCCTGGACTTTTCAGACATGCCATGCCCTCTACTTAAAACTTCGCTAACAACCTTTGACTGGCAAAGCATTGCACCATCCTCCAGCTCCTAAATCAAAATGTCATTTCCTCCAGGAAGCCCCTGGTGACCCCAAAGTCTGAGTAAGTCCCACACAGCATCATGTATTTAACCATCACAGCACTTACCTCATCATATTGAAATCAACCATGTACTGAGATTGCATCATCCTTGGTTTAGGTTAAAGTTGAAATTAAAAAAAAAAAAAGATGTAGGAAAGGAAAGCCTGTGTTTGCTCACACAGGCAGGTGAAGTAGCTTTTCTGGCTGAGAAGAAATGGTACTCAAAGGACACAGGCTCCTAGACCCCTACTAGCCAAGGACAAAACCCTCAAACTCAGCCAAAGCTGGTCTCCCCAGTGGAGCACAGATGGAGCTCGATGGATGCTTTACACTTAACCCCAAAATACCCAAGATGGACTAAGATACTTTAGCAGGCCTTCAGAAGCCCAATTTAAATGATGGGGAACTGTTTGTTTTTAAGAAACATAATTTTTTTCCTTTAGGGCCACCTTCAGCTCACACCAATCCAACAGAAGTATCAGGACACTGTGTCTTCTCTTCAAAACCCTCCTCTTAAATTTTGGGGTGGCGCATGTGTGCAAAGCCGCTTCAGTCGTGTCTGACTCTTTGAGACCCCACGGACTGTAACCCCAGGCTCCTCTGTGGGATTCTCCAGGCAAGAATACTGGAGTGGGTTGCCATGCACTCCTCCAGGGGTCTTTCCTACCCAGGGATCAAACCTGCAGCTCTTAAGTCTCCTGCATTGGCAGGTGGGTTCTTTACCACTAGAGCCACCTGGGAAACCCTTTCGGGGTTCTGTGTTTTTATCAACAGATAAGTCAAGAAACAGTCTTAGCAAATATGAAAACACCAGTTTCTAGAGTACCATTTAATATTCTACATGTAGAACTTAAACTTTTTAGATGTAAGAGCTAGAGAATTGCTTTACATTCTCTAAGTAAACAGCATGTTCCTGTCTTCTCTAGCAATATGATCTATGTAATTAAAAGTTTATTTTTGCTCTAGTGGCCACCCAAGCAGTCAGTATAATTTTGAGGGTTGAAAACAGTCCCCAGAGAGCCTATTATAGTTTGTCTGTTGCTCTTCTATTTCCCTCCTCCTGTTGCTAATGTTATTTGTTCTTGATGTATCATTGGTCATGCTATCACTGGTCTCCGTTTGTTTATTCTCTTCACAATAAAATGGGGCAAAATAAAACTAGCATGGTGTTATTTTAAAAACACTTGTCCTCTAATAATTTTTAAAAGCCCACTCAATTAATACTTAAATTTTAAAATAATATTCAAGTCGTTTTATGTAGTTAACCATCATTTTAGTAACACAAGAAACATATTTTAATTCATACCATGTTCTGAGTATACTGTTTCATCAAGTGACTGAACCTGTTCGTGTACTTCATCTTCAATATTCTGAGGTCCTAAAATAATTAAAACATTACTAAGTAGAAAAAATATAGACATTAAAGCATAACATGAAATATGATCTCCATGTATACACATTAAAATGAATATATTGGATTAATCAGCTACGCTCCTTTTTCATAACAGCTCAATCCTTTGTTTTAGGTTGACACATATGGTAGATATTTAAAATTGGTTTTGAGAGCAGATATAAATGCTAAAAGACTTCTCCATAAGATATCAAAAAATAAGAAATGAATCAGGTTCAGATTTTTCTTAAAAAAAAGAAAAAATTATTTTGGTTTCTAGTTAACAATGTTCACATTAATAATAGAATAAAGAAAATAGGAAGGGCAAAGTTTTCAGAAAAGGAAGTACTGGGAAATAAAGATAAAATGCAGAAGAGGAAGTCAATATACATTAAAGCACATGGTCAACCACTGTCTTCCCCAGTAGTCAGGAGAAAAGGCCCCTTGGCTGGTGTGAGGGTTGGCTGCCTGCTCTCAGAAGGTGTTCGGAAGTGTGAGTAGAAGACCTTAGAAGACAATCATCTAATCTTTGGAGACCCTCATCTGACAGTCACATCCATAGATTCAAACAGATTTAAACTCCAGACGTGAACACTAGTCGTGACACTGCGACTACACCGTGGGGCTTATCATATTTTTAGGCTTATTGCAACATCATACAACAAACAAGAAGCTACAACCACATTGACACTACTCAAATCTTCTAACAGCCATCATCTATGTTCAGCGAACACAGGCTTAATATCATAGGCTTAGAACCAGGCTTAGTATCATGAATGCCATCACATGAGATAAACACCGAGGATATCAGTTATACTGAGAAGGTACTCGTCAATGACAAAAACAGAGTAAGTTAATTTGAACTTCAGGCTGGAAAAAGCAGAAGACTATTTTGCTAATTATTCTACAAAACCGTTTCTAAAGCACAGAGTGCCTTCTAGTTTTACACATGCTTACATCTCACAAACTACTTTTATGCCTGTTCTCACAGAATTCCAACGGAGCCTGCCAATCTCTGCTCTGCCCTCACACAATGCCCACGAGAGCCTCCCAGCTGAGTTCCCAGTTTTAAACCTGCTGACAGCACCAACCACGGAAAATATAAAGTGAATAAAGAGAAGTGGAGATTGGCACTCTGTTCCTCTGTTAACCCTTTAATGGCTCCCTCGGCCTGAACAGATGAAAGTCTAAGCTCCTTGAAACCTCAGAAGGAAATACAAGACCTCCACAATCTAGCCTTCCCATGCCTCTCCAGTCACACCTGCTACCAGCGCTGGCTTTGAACTTGGAGAGTACACCACCTGTTCCATCTTTCCATGAGCCTCGGATGTACCTTCTCTCCCCTTGGGAGAGTTAAAAGGTTAAAAAAAAAAAAAAAAAAGGCCAGGCTAAATGAGTGAAAGACTAAGTGTAAAATAAGACAAAAAAGCAACTACAAATCCTTCTTTCAAAAGTGTGGCTTGTACAGTGAGAAGAGGGACTGAAGGGCAGATGAAAAGAAGTGTAGGGATCAAGTGAAAGTTAACTGTTAGTCACTCAGTTGTGTCCAACTCTTTGTGACCCCATGAACTGCAGCCCACCAGGTTCCTCGATCCATGAGTAGGGATCAAGGAGGGCAGCCATTTTATTGTGTTTTTAATGATAGGTATGTATCTCTGTTTATAGACTAGGTAGTTAGAAAAGACAGAAGGTAGAGACCCAAATAAGAGGAAGTTTGGGAAGGTAACATTTAAACCAAAGCAAACATCACCAAGAAGTTGAAAAGGATATGAGCTGACAACAAACTGTAGGGTTTGGGAGTTTGGGACAGGTTATCAGTAATATGCAAAGTGTAATACTAACAAAGAATAAAAAAAGAAAGAAAGCAAATGGTACATTTCAGAGTAAGTACCAGCTTTGACAAACACGGTTTTTAAAAATTAATTTAGTGCAAAGTGAAATTTGAGGTGCTAAATTCAAATATGGATTTAAATTCTTAAAAAAAAAAAAAAAAGGAAAAAATATCACCCTTGCTGCGAAGCCAGGGCATGATTAGGGCAACTGTACAGGAATGTGAGAGAAACTTCTCCTGGGATTATCTGAACAACAACAAAAACTGACAGCAACATTTTGATCTTTACTAAAAGGAAGGAAGGTAAACCAAAGAGTATTCACCAATATATAGTGATAAAATCAACGCAACTACCATCTGGATTCAGTAGCTAAATCGCCGGTAAAAATGCAATGTCATACCTAACATTTCCAATAGGTGGCAAAATGAAACCAAATCTTTGAGAACTACTGAGTAGAAGAAAATGTGCAGGAATAGTACTTCGTAATAAAAACCAGATCATCAATAGGAAATGAGAGTAATGGAATCAGACGTCATTTAACAATTTATTAAGAGATTTCAGGAGTTTTTATCATATGGGTCACTGGCCCTTGAGTGCCTGAGGGAATACTTGAATTGATGTGTGAATTCATGTAGATATAAAACAGGCTTCACAGATGATCCCAAGGAGGCCTGGGAAGTCTTTCATTGTAGACAGGAGACTCATATTAAAAAGACTGGGAGCCCAGTCAACCTACTTCATTAAATAATGTGACAGAAGAGGGCAAAACTAAATGTCCAAGACCTGTTTAATTTTACTTTCAATATAATATGGCACAGTTACCCTGGACTTGGGATCAAGAAACGCAGCACTTAGTTCACAATGTTTCTAACTATGATCTCAGACAAGGAGAAGCCTTCTGTGTCTGGGACTCTTAATCTCAAAAATTAAAATGATCCTGTGTGGATTTTTTCTAGAAAAAAAAATAGAGAGTTTACTATAAAATTTCAGAAGACAAGAAGAAAAAGGATTGGGTTGGCCCACAAGTTTGTTCAGGTTTTTCTGTAACATCTAATGGGAAAATGGAACAAGTTTTTTGGCTAACCCAGTATTTCATTATTCTGTGATCATTGAGAAACAAAATTAAGGATAAGACAGGACTCTGGAAGCTGCTACCTTTGGATACCTGGGATGTAGCTAGGTGCATCTGGTCAGAATCAGAGGAAAGCTTACCTGTGCTCTCCAGAACCTGATCTTCCAGCCAAGGGTACATGTCTGTCTCTTCTGGCGGCACTGTTGGCTTTGGAGCAGGTTTTTCTTTAAGGCCTGCATTTTTATTCACAAAATTAACTTAAGGTTTTTTTTTTTTCTTTTAAAAAATTTTTTTGACACATTAAACCAAGTAAAATAATATTTCCCAACACTTCATCAATACAGCCAGTTTTTCAAAGCTTTCCAGTTTCCGTTACATGAGAATATTGATATGCTTATAAAAAAATTAAGTTGGAAAATAGTTCGTTCTTTGAATTCACCTGGGCCTTTAACATCTCTTTACCTAAATTAACCTTTCATTTAAAAAATCATAAATCATTGTTTGAATATTCACAAATCTCTAAAAGATCAAGTAAAAAAAAAAAAGTAAAATAAAATAACAAGTCATGCCTGAACTTGCCAAAAGAAGTTCAGTATTAGTTCAATCTCCTCTCGTGTTTGTGGGTGACTAATGAACTTCTAAGTTTTGAACTCCAAATTCAGCAATAAGACAACTAAGATGTACTGAAACTTTCTACTCTTATTGACTGCATGCCTTTCTTTGATTTATATATAATTACTCTTCTTGAAAACTATAGTTAAATATGAGAAGAAAAAACACATAACTATGTACAACCTTCTAAAGTTAACACATGCAATTCCATAAAAAAATCCATTAAAAATATGGAAAAAAATTCTTTGCTTTTCCTTTTTTGTCTTAAGGAAAATAGGACATCAGGATAAATTAACATGAAAGATGATTTAAGTCAATGCTGCTCTAAAAATCTTATATATTGCTAATTCTTTGCAATTTTGTACATAGCACATTAAAATGCATCCTAAATTAAATACAAAAATTTAGAAAACTAAATTAGACTGTCATGAGCCTGACAATTCCATTTACCAAACCCTGGGCTCTCTGTTACCCCACTGAGAGTCTTGTACCAGGAGCAGATATTAAAGGGCATGTGTCTGCATGTCAACACCTGGAGTGAAAAGGTCAGGACAGAACAGAAAGGCCTTTTCTAATCTTAAGCACCTTTAACTCAATGTAGGTATACTGCTATAATCTGGGAAATCCTCATTTACCCTTCTGCTCTGGTTCTTTTGTGTTTTCCCCGACTATTCCCTCTTCTATAGCTCTTTATTTTTCTCTCATTAACAAAAACATACTCCTACCCCGTCTCCCAAATCCCAAAAAAGACACTGCAACAGTTCACAGGACCCCACCTCATCGCTGATATTTCCTCTAGGGACTGATTTCTGACACTACTTACGCAAAAATCTAACATTAGAAAACAAACACCAACGAATACGATCGTGTTCTGCTCCTAACTATAGATTCCAGAGAGGGTATACACAAATAGGTACAAATCCTAATTATAGTTCACTTTCAGGGGGTGGGGGTAAGAAATGAAAGCCTATTAAAACACATTACATTTAAAGATCCAAATTCAAGACTGAAAACTCCCCCATGCACTTTTCCACTTAAATAACCTATGCTTAAGAGCTCTCAACTGTTACTGGGGCAGGTATGGACCTCTTCATGCCAAACTCAGCCAAGTTTTGCTGAGTTAATAGGGTAAACTTTTCATCTTCCGAACAGGAGAAGCATCTTTGCACTCTCAGCACTGCAGAAAACACTGGTACATAGCAGTGTTTAAGGGCAGGGTGCACCCAGTGAATGTCCGCTCTGCTTTTTAAATGACTGCAGACTCTACAGGGCCCCGGCTGGAGCTGTAGCAGAGTGGCTTAGGGCTGCAGAGGGAGCGGGGACTCATCAATTTCCCTGCTACTATTTACCAAAGAGATGCCCATCTCAGTTCTAGCATCATCCACCATTTCAGTACCACAAGCCTAATTTGCCTCAACAATCCCAGTTTATGTCTGTTGTCCTGGTATAATTATTTCACTCTCAAAGGCATCTCAGGATAGATGAAAAATTACAAGGTCATTCTACTAAGCCTGTCTGTAGCAGGCTTTCAAACTGTGCTCCATGGGTTCGATACGCAATAAAATATGTCCCCATCAAACAAGAAAGATTTAAGCTGCCTGAAAAATCCCATTTGTATTGGATTTAGAGAAAAATTTCATTTGAAAAAAAAATGTGAGGCCAAAAGTGCCTGAAAACTACTACTACACATCAATATCCAGACCCACATTGCCTCTAATAACCAGTTTTCTCTAAATCAGCTGGGAGTTGTCTCTAAAGTTGAAATTGTAAAACATGAAAAATAACATGAGGAAGCAAAATCCCATAATGAGAGAAAATATTGAGCCGTTTTCTTTTCTATCCAAAGTGGCAGCTGAATTGTAAATTTACTGATACCTGGTCATGGTGATTTTCCAGAGGTGAAATCAGCACAAAAATAAACTATTTTGTAAACTTCAAAGAAGCTGAAGTTCTTATTAACATCTTTCCTTCCCTAGACTCTTATAAAGGTTCTAGTATTTAATGAAAACACATTCTAGAATAATTCTTACTGATTTGATAACCCATATGAAAGCTTTTACTCTGGCGTTTCGAATTGTTTTTTCCTACCCAAGTCCATTTTAGCCCATGAATCCATGAATAAGTGTTCCCCAGAAAACAGTCGTAAACCCATGTCTTGTACAAGAGTTCAGGCAAAAAGAAATCAAAAACTAAACAAGAAAAATAAACACGTGTAAGACAAAGGAAAGCTTTTCAAATTGGATTTATTGTGAGGTACACATGGCAAGGATGTAGCACTGAAACAAATAGTCAGGTTATGAAATGAATGTATTGGTTTTGACGTTGCTGGGGCTGCAAATAATAAGACACCAACTCACACTGGCTTGAACAAAAAGGAAATTTATTATTTAACAGCAGGTTGGCTGGCTCTCAGCACTGGCTTCATCCTCAGGGCGGTAACCAGGTCTCCCAGGCAGCAAGGTCCTCTTTGAGACAAGACTTTGTCCAGAAGCAAAGAACCACCTCTTCTTCTGCTTCTTTCTTAGGCTTGAAGAAATTTTTCCTGCAAGTTCTTACCATTCTTCCCGTTTTAATAGTCAAAAACAGAACCCACTTCTATTCCTCCACTGGCAAGAGCAACAGAGTGACCACAATTGCCTGATGGTGATTATCTAGGGTTGAATGACCGTTGCAAGCCAACCACAATAGCTCCTGTATGATTTGGAAGATCATCGAATTCTCTTAAAAACATACCTTGTGTTTAGGTCTTTGAGTGCATGAGATAAATTAGGAAAAAAAAACAAACTGAAGGTGAGGGTGGGACAATATGGGAGAATAGCATTGAAACATGTATATTACCATATGTAAAATAAATGACCAGGGCAAGTTTGATGCATGTGTAGGGCACCTAAAGCTGGTGCTCTGGGGCAGCCCAGAGGGATGGGGTGAGGAGGGAAGTGGGAGCGGGGATTCAGGATGGGGGGGACACATGTACACCCACAGCTGATTCATATCAATGTATGGCAAAAACCACCACAATACTGTAGTTAGCCTCCAATTAAAATAAATAAATTAATTTTTAAAAAGTTTACATTTAATAACTGTGTAACTCTGCCTCCAATTTTAATTCAAAATGGAAGAAGTTATAAAAATTAAATGAAATGAGTACTTTAAATCAACTGTTCACAGCAAGTTTAATTACCTGACACAATTACCCTAGTCCAATATCAGCTTAATTTATTCAGTACTACCCAACTACACCAGACCACCATGGGAAAGAACAAATGGATTTTCTTCCCAGAAATATGTAACATTTTAAAAGTTACTAAATTGCATATTGCATTCATTCATACAACAAATATTCAGTACCTACTAACTCAAGGTGGGCTTCCCTGGTGGTTCAGTGGTAAAGAATCCACCTGCAAATGCAGGAGACGCAGGTTCAATCCCTGGCTTAGGAAGATCTCCTGGAGATGGAAACAGCAACCTACCCCAGTATTCTTGTCTGGAAAATCAAATGCACAGAGGAGCCTGGCGGTCTACAATTCATGGCATCACAAAAAGAGTCAGACACAATTTAGCGACTAGACAAGACAAGTTTAACTCAAGGTGCTGTTCTACAGAAAACCAACACACAAAACCCCTATCACCCATAGGAAGGGAACAGTAAAAAGATAAGAAACATGAACTCTTTAGAGTATAGGAGATGGCGAAAGTGACAGACCCTTAGGGAAAGGGGGTGGGACTATTCACAATAAACTGATGAGGAAAGGACTTACTGATAAGACTGAAACAGATTATAGGAGGACATCAGGGATATGGCCTTATAAGTTATACTAGATAAGAGACTCCAGGTAAAGCTTTGGACCAGTAAGTACAAATTTCTTCAGCAGAGAAGGTGCTGGGAGTGAGGAAGGACCAGGTGGCCAACACAGGCGAACAGCATAGGCCTGAGCATCAGAAAGGTCCTAGAAACCCGCCTCTTACTCTAAGAGTGAACAATTGACTTTTTACAAGAATTACATACAAACTGCTTCCTCACCAAAATCTGGGAAAATAAGGATTATACATAATATTACGCTTCATAGGTTTCACATACTTAGCACATAAAAGCAAAGATATTTTAAAAATTCAGTTCCACAATCTTTTACATCAATCTTCACTAATTCAGTGGTGTACAGAATAATAAAAAACTGATCTTACCCATCCAGGTTACTCCGGCTGCTGTGGTTCATGCGGGAAGTACTCAGGACTGCTACTGCTTCAAATGCAAGCAGTCTAAAAGCGTAAATCAATACAGCCCAAGAACAACTCTAACAGTACAAGAAATTTGAGAAACATTTTGGGAAATCGATACACCAGAAAGGCACTCGTACTAACTGCCATGCCAATCCTGTTGTTCCTGGCTTGTATACTCAACAGATACAATCTTGGCAGGCACGCCAAAAGCGGTCCTACTGCCGCGAACTCTAAGAGCATCCCTTGACATACAGTAAGAGCCATTCCAGATTCAAATCATCTTCACACAACCCAAGATGGACAGAGATTCCAGGAAGAGGATGACAGGTCAGAAGAATTAAACACTGCCTCAAAGATCCCTAAGAGCCTGGTTTCAGGACCAATGAAAGGACTCCACAAAGAC